TACCTATTTATCTACTTGCAATTTCTTGCTTTCGAACTGCTAGGTTGGCAGGAGCTGGAACTAGAGACGGGAGCTCACTCCGTCATGCGGCACACTCGGGTCTCGAACTGCTGAACTATCGACCTTCCACAGGCTGCAGTTCAGCATCTTAACCACTTGAGCCACCGCAGCTCCGGCTGAGCTGATCTAGCAGAGATCAAAACCCCATGTTATCCATATAGCCCCAGGCAAAACCTGATGATCACTCTAACGAAAGGATTGGGCTCAAGTTTGACTGTGGTACAGTTGGATGGTCGAGGACTGGTCCTGCTCCAGTGGGCCACCGCAGGGCACTGGACAGTGTTTGGCACTTGGTAGGCTGATTCACATCCTTCACCCCAGAGACCTGAGCTACCCCTTCAGAACACAAACTCTTTTCAGAAGGGTTCAACGGGAAAACAAACATACCCAGGCTCTGTGTTTGGGAGATGATTGTCAAGTTAAAACGAGGACAGGAGAACAGTGTACGGCATCCTGAGCTCCTTGGAGGGAGGACGGGATAAAAATTTTGCCCACCAGTAGATAAATAGTTATTTTTGTTAAAATATGATAGATCAAAGAAGCACACGAGGGAGGGCCTTTTCAGGGGCAGCCCCACAATTATGGAACAGCCTACCCAAGGTAGAGTTGCCAGGTCTGATTGTCATGCTGGCGGAGGGATTGGGGGGGGGCATTCTGGGAGTGGGCGGGGCCTTGCACGACGTGCATATGTCACCCAGAAGTGAGGTAGGCACGCCAGTGACATTGGAGGTGACACTCTGGTTTTTGGGCACAACTCTATGGTAAAATCACCCTCAAACCATAGAGTTCTGCCCAAAAACCAGAGTTTCACACACACCCCAAAAGTCACCAATGTGCCTATGTCACTTCCAGGTGACGTCAGTGCATCGCACGCAATGTCTCTGTTTGGGGTGGTGGGAGAATTTCCTCCCGCTGGCCAGCTGGTCACCAGTGGACAGGAGCCCACGAAAGTCAGGGATCCCTCCCCACCCCCACCTGGGGAATGGTAACCCTACCCCAAGAAGGTGCGCCCGGCCCTCTCACTTCCGATCTTCAGGAGGCAGCTGAAGACGTTTTTATTTAGGACTGCATTTGATTAATGCGGTCCTAAATTGCAATTTTAAATTTTGGTTTCATGCAGGGGTCAGTTCATAGAAAAAGAAGTGCAGGAGCTCATTAGCATAACTCATTAGCATAACTCATTTGCATATGCCACACCCCCTGACATCACCGGAAGTGTGTCAGAAGGCAACACCCACCGCTCAGGCTCCACTGGACTGTTTTGGATTGCTAGCTATTGGGGGGGGGGGAACATGCAGATCTGTCCTCACAGAGGAGGGAGAGCTTGTACCTGAATAAAACTTGGTCTTAAAGGTGCCACTGGACTGTTTTGGAACCGGGGGACAGGGGGGGCTCTGCAAGTTACCTGGCTGCTTCTTGCTCTGACTGAGGGCTGCTGGGAGCAGGGGGCGGGGCTTGTTGCATGTGCCTGCCCCCTGGGCTCTTTACTGCTGGGGCTCCGCTCCTGTGCGCTCCTGCAGGAAATGACCCCTAGTTTTATGTACTCTGTTTTATGTACTTTGTTTATATTTTAAGCCACCTGGAGCTCCGAAAGGAAGAGTGGCGGCTAATAAACGTCTAACATAAATAAACAAATGTTCTTTGTTTTCTGTAGATGATGCCGATTCGGAATCCATGACGGAGGAGTCTGATGAGCCCAACACATCCGACAGTGAGGTTTGTCTTCTTTTCAGTATCCCGTCCTTCAGTCTCCACTGGCACTTAGCTCAAGCCTTGCATTGCCTTTCTCACCCAGCTAGCTTACAGCCAGCTTTCACTGGAGCCTTTATTAGGAAGCAACTGGATAGGCCTTTGACTCACAAAAGTTCAAGCCCTAGAAAAATGTGTTGGTCTTTAAGGTGTTACTGGACTCGAATCCAATCTCCTCCTCCTCCTCTTCTTCTTCTTCTTGAATACCCACAAAAAGAATCCTGCATTAGAAAGGGTTAGCCATTCGAAAGTGGATGGGAACAAAGAATCGCAGCAAAAGGAGTTTTGGTAGCTGCGGGGCAACAGTGTGCTGGAAGCGGCCTGAACGCAGATCCCTGTAAAACAAATGCAGAAACAAGAGCAAGCCCCGACACAAAGTGGAAGTGAAAGTGGGAGGGAAGGCAGAATGGAAGAACAGGATGCACTCAGACACTGAGGCAAAATACAGGTGCAGAAAGGTCCAAAGCAAAAGTCTTACCGTGACACATTAACCGGTACAAAAATTATATAATCGGATCAGTGTCAGTAAGCTGAATACAGTGGTGTAGACCGCAGTCCCTAAGAATTTATCTAAATAACTTTGTGAATCATTTTGTATAGTGCAACTCTATTGCCTGAGTGGAACACCTCTCTTGAATAATTCAGTTTTGCATGATTTGTGGAAAGCCAGGAAAGTAGGAGCCTTCGTGACCTCCTCAGGCTGAACATTTCATAAAGTCAGTCAGTGGTGATGCCTGGGGCAGTGCCATCGGCCGTCTTTAACCCCTGAGGACTGCTACAAAGATGGCAACTGTCCCCTTTGGAATCCATCCCTGGGCAAGCGGAAACGATCTACAGCATTTTGTTGCTGGTCCCAACTTGTAATTTATAAAACCATTTGGTAAGGATCAGATAGGAGCTGCGGTGGCTCAAGTGGTTAAGACGCTGAACTGCAGGCTGTGGAAGGTGTCAGGCTGTGGAAGGGTCAGCAGTTCCAAACCCGGGTGTGCCGCATGATGGAGTGAGCTCCCATCTCTAGTTCCAGCTCCTGACAGCCTAGCAGTTCAAAAGCAAGAAATTGCAAGTAGATAAATAGGTACCACTTTGGTGGGAAGGTAACAGCGTTCCGTGCACCTTGGTGTTTAGTCATGCTGGCCACATGACCACGGAAACATCTTCGGACAGCGTTGGCTCTTTGGCTTTGAAACGGAGATGAGCACCGCAACCCTAGTCGGACTCGACTGGCTTTTGAGCAAGGGGAACCTTTACCTTTACCTTTTAATGATCAGATGGAACAGCTGCTGCAGGAGACAATATAGGGAGGGGAGGAGCTAAAGGGCTAGGGTTGCCACCCTCCAGGTGGGGACTGGAGATTTGGAACTACAACTGATCTCCAGACTACTTAAATCACTTATTTATTACTTATTTGTTTGACACTTTTATTCCACTTCTCCTGGAGCAAATGGAAGGAGGACTGCACGGGATTATGACCTAACCAACGTTCCTCCCCTCCACTCTTCCGGGCTCCACCCTCAACCCAGAGTTGGTAGCCCTATAAGAGCCAGTTTGGTGTAGTGGTTAGGAGCACAGGCTTTAATCTGGGAGAACCGGGTTTGATCCCCCACTCCTCCACATGCAGCTGCTGGTGTGACCTTGAGTCAGTCACAAGTTCTCTCAGAGCTGTTCTCTCAAGGGCAGTTCTCAAAAAAGCTCTCTCAGCCCCACCTGCCTCACAGGGTGTCTGTTGTGGGGAGGGGAAGGGAAAGGAGATTGTAAGCTGCTCTGAGACTCCTTTGGGTAGTGAAGGGTAGGGTAATAAATCTCTTCCTCTTCTTCTGTAAGGACAACTGCTCCCTGTAAGGACAACTGCTCCCTCTTCTGTAAGGACAACTGCTCCCTCTCCCTGAGAAGGGATCCTTGCTGTCTTACCATTTTATATGGGGAATACAGATTCGTTTTCTGATAAGACCATCATAGGCCAACATTTCGCATGGGACCCACGCACAATTTTCATTGGAGTAGAAACAGCCAATCACATGCAATGCAGAGCAATGATTCTTGCCAGCACTGGGAACCCATTGATTCCTACGTGTGAGTTTTGGTGGCAGGGGTAAATGATTTCCACATGTGACTTTTTTATTTATTTCCATTTGAATTGGTCAGCCACCTTAGTGGCCCTTGTGAGGGCAGAAATGAGGGACATACGTTTTGTAAAATTCATTCATTAATCCCCCCCCCCTTCATCTGTGTAGGTGACTGGTACAGGGAACGATGAAAGCTTCCCAGGTGCTTCTGTGAAAGGAAAGTATTGCGGCGTAAAGGAACTGCCAAAGAAGCGGAAACGGGGACAGGATTCGTGGCCCGAAGGTACAAAAGGGAGTCTTTTTTCTAATTCTGCGTTGCAAACTGTGCCCCGTTTTGTCGCTAGAGAACCTCCGGTTTTGCGACAGAAGCCAACAGTGCTGAATCGCACCTGTTTACTGAATCAAATCTGTCTTTCCACCACGGTGTAGCCCTGATAAACCAGATTTAAACCAACTGTGTGTGGCGGGGGACGGGGGGTTTATCTCACTATTTGTTCAGTAGGGGTCTAGCACCCATGATCCCTGAAGCTTAGGTCGTGCATTTCCTTATTCATCCTCGCAAAAAACCTGCCATTCTCGCTTTATTAGCAACAGGGAGAAGCCAGAGAGACCTTTGTCTGAGAATCTGAGTCTCCACCAAACATCTAGAAAGGAAGGTGGTTACAGTTTGGAGGGGGAAGGCAACAGACAGGGTAGGGGACCGGGCAGGGGTACTTAAACCTTCTTTTCTCCCCATTTCTCCCCTCCACTTCGCTCCCCCGGATTGTTCCCAGCTGGAATTCCCAAACTGGACCCACCATTAGAGGGGGGAAAGGGGGGAGTGTAGGAGAATGGTGGTGGGAGAGTAGGGTTGCCAACTTCCAGGTGGTGGCTGGAGATCTCCTGGGATTACAACTGTTCTCCAAATGACACAGATCAGTTCACCTGTTGAAAATGGCTGCTTTGGAAGGCGGACGCTGTAGCATTATACCCCACTGAAGTCCCTCCCGTCCCCAAACCCTGCCCTCCCCAGACTCCACCTCCAAAATCCCCAGGTATTTCCCAACCTGGAGCTTGGAACCCTATGGGAGCTGGAAACAGGGGTCATTTCCTGCAGGAGCGCACAGGAGCGGAGCTCCGGCAGTTAAGAGCCCAGGGGGTGGGCACATGCAACAAGCCCCGCCCCCTGCTCCCAGCAGCCCTCAGTCAGAGCAAGAAGCAGCCAGATAACTTGCAGAGCCCCCCCTGTCCCCCGGTTCCAAAACAGTCCAGTGGCACCTTTAAGACCAAGTTTTATTCAGGTACAAGCTCTCCCTCCTCTGTGAGGACAGATCTGCATGTCCCCCCCCCCCAATAGCTAGCAATCCAAAACAGTCCAGTGGAGCCTGAGCGGTGGGTGTTGCCTTCTGACACACTTCCGGTGATGTCAGGGGGTGTGGCATATGCAAATAAGTTATGCTAATGTTATGCTAATGAGCTCCTGCACCTCATTTTCTATGAAATGACCCCAGTTGGAAAGATTAAGTATGCACTTCCCCTGAAATATACAAACACCTTTGTAGATGATTGCTAAATATCTAGTTTGATGCTGGATTTCATTTCCCACAGCCCCACCTCTGTTGCCGCCCCCCCCCCCCCCCCCCCCCCCCCCAGCACTGCTAGAGAACTACTGCCTCTGAAGAAGGAGGTCTTTGGTCCTCATGGCTAATTGCCATAGGTGGATTTCTCCTCCATGAATCTGTCTAATCCCCTTTTAACCTAGTCACCAAATGAACACATAGGCTTCGGTCAAGCAAAATCTGACAATACAATGGATGAGGCCTCCTGTGCAACTAGAAACTAGAACATACAGAAATTACAAAATATAGTGTACAATATAACTGTGAATAACAGTGATACAAGCTCCCAGTATAATATCCTTGTTTCCCTAAGAATTCTTCTTCCGTCACTGTGAAACATAAATATAAAAGCAAAACATTCAGTCATATACAATGGGTATCGTGTAAATGTTTACAGCACTAAATAGTAAGACACTCTGCAATGCAGTGACTCACCTGTTATAGTGAAAGTTAATCTATGTTGAATGAAATAGTGTAAAAAACACTCTTAAAGCCTCCCAAGGGAATGACCTGTAGTGATAATCTCCCGGTCTCCCGTCCGGGATAGTAAGCTACAAAAAATTAAGACGTAATAGATAAGGAGCACAAAGGAGCATACGCTATAGTTTTAATATAGTGTATTTATTGGTGCTAAGCAAAATATTGTCAAGGTCATTCCTTAAATCCAAGGAAATGGCCTCTAAAAACAATCCCCCAGCCACAAGGCAGGAATGTGCCAAAGAATAGCAAAATGAAGCCACAACAAAGTCTAAAAATAAAGCACGTTAGCATAATATCCCAAATTAGGACAGCATATTAGCGTGCATCTGGTCAAATGAACTAGTAAGTCGCAACATTACTCTCGGGTGGCTTGATAGCAAAAGAGTAAAAAAAACACTACCTTACAATATCATCAAAGAGGAACATATACTCCACAATAAATCCGGCTCATTACTCTTTTGCTATCAAACCATTGGAGAGTAATGTTGTGACTTACTAGATCATTTGTCCACTGGAAACTCTATGGTTTTCCCATAGAGTTCCTGGTGATTCCTAGAACTACCGCTGTCACTTTCAGGTTTATCCAAGAAGGGGTGTCACCACACAACAACATAAGACCATAAAAACAGAAGAAGAGCCCTACTGGATCAGATCAGTGGTCCGTCTAGTCCAGCATCCTGTCTCACACAGTGGCCAACCAGTTCCTCTGGACAGCCAACAACAGGGCACGGAGGCCGAGGCCTTCCCTTGATGTTGCCTCCTGGCTCTGGGATTCAGAGGTTTAGTGGCTCTGAATGTGGAGGTTGCCTTTAGTCACCAGGGCTAGTAGCCACTGATAGACCTCTCCTCCATGAATCTATTTAATCCCCTTTTAAAGTTGTTAATTCCTGTAGCCATCACATTGACGGCCCCTCCACGTACCTGCCGCGAACCCTCCTGCCAATCGTAACCCTATGAACTCAAAATGTGGCTGTCACTCTATCCTATGTCAGGGAATTCCACAAATTAATTCCTGCTTGAGAGAAGGCGTAATTAATCTGTGCTGGTTCCTTCCTGTAAGGTACACGGCCCTTGTAAATCTTGGGCTGTCTGCCGTTAGCCAGGCCAACGTGGGCCTGGCTTGGGATGAGGAACCTTCACCCTATTTAACATGAATAAGTGCTCCAGGTATACACCTGAATGTTTGTTGAGCCGTTCCTGAGAAAGGCCGACTGAGAAAGCGGGTCAGACACTCCCGGTGAGAGCTATCGACAGGCAGGGAAAGCTTTTCACACACAAGAAGTGTTTACTTTTGAAGCCTGCCGAGGTGGCAGTCAGCGAACAATGGAATGTCTTGTTCTGGTGCTTCCTACAGGTGACTAACCAGGAAACTGATAAGGCGAGGCGTAAAAGTAACCTGCCTGCTCACAGTTTAAACAACTTTTCCATCCCGAAAAGCACTGCTCCCAGCTCTGTTTGCACAGTCAAAAGAAAGTATGTGTGTAAGAGAGAGAAAGAGAGAGAGACCGAGAGAGAGACCAGCGTGCTGACCCCCTGTAAAAAATATACTCGGGTGCCGCTAAAGCTTATAAAGACGGCTTGTTTAACAAACTCCCGTTCCCATCGCTCCACCTTCCTGATGTATCCGGAAATGAAATGTTGACAGAAAGGAAAAAAAGGAGCTCTCAAAAGCCTCAGCCCTGCCCTACACGGGTCAGGCTTTGAACGCGTCAAACTGACAGCAACAAGAAAGAGACAATTACGACTGGCGCCAGCGGGCACCAATCCTGCCAACTGGCTTATGCCGAGATGCAGTTGGCCATTAAGGGACAATCAGGGATTAATCCCCAGCCAATCACACCAGCTCCTGCTGCCCCTCCCACAAGTCCAGTCCTATACCTCCAAGTTGGGAAATTCCTGGAGATTTGGGGTGGAGCCTGGGGAGGGCGGAGTTGGGTTGAAGGGAGGGACCTCGGCTAGGTATGAATGCCGTAGAGTCCACCCTCCAAAGTAGCCATTTTCTCCAGGGGAACTGATCTCTGTCATCTGGCAGTTGGCTGTAATTCCAGGGGATCTCCATGCCTCACCGGGAAACCCTATCTATACCCCAGATTTAAAGGGCTGGGTGTGATAACTTCCTTTCTCTCTTGTCTGTTCTTATCCCGCCCCTCCTCAGGGAAGAGTATGTGGTTCTCCTTTCCCCAGTTTTTCCTCACTGTTGTGTATTAAGTTGCGCTAGCCCAGCAGCGCTAGCCCGGCCATGCAGTCAGACAAACCTTCCGACCTTCGGTCTTCAGACAATAGCCACTTCGGATCCTAGGGCACACCAATGGGTTCGCCCGGACCCGAAAGTAAACCTATTGAGATTTTGACTTGTAAATAGAACCAATCATGGGTGATGGGTGTGTGCGAGTGTGGTGTGGGTCACGCATATAAGCCGGGCATTGCCCGGCCCAAGTATCTTTTCGTTCCTAATGTAATCCAATAAACAAGAGCTTATTCACTATGCTGAGTCTTGGGTCTCAGTTCCTAGATCAGGGAGAAAATTCCTGGGCTTCCTACATCTAAAGAACATTGGTTACATGAGAAACATGTGGCTTCCTGTGAGTAACATAAACAAACATTTAACCCCAGATATACTGGAACAGGAACTCATTAGCATATTGGGCCACACCCCTGACAGCATATTAGGCCACACCCCTGACAGCACAGCTTATTAGCACATTAGGCCACACCCCCATGTTACCAGAAGTGTGGTCATCCAGCCACACCCACCTTTTGCTTGTTATTCTGCTTACCTTGTTTGTTGTCAAAACCCAGGGCTTTTTTGTAGCAGGAACTCCTTTGCATGTTAGGCCACACACCCCTAATGTAGCCAATCCTAATGAGTTTCTGCTGTTGGGTGTGGCCTATTATGCTAATGAGTTCCTGCTGGGCGTGGCCAACTTGGGAGCCAGCCGGAACTCCGTTCCTGCGCGTTCCTGACCAAAAATAGCCCTGGTAATACCCAACACTATTGTAAGCCTACCTGTTTTGGTCCAGAAGATACACTCA